GAGCTGTCAGCACAGAGCCCGATGCGGGGCTTGAGCTCACGGACCGCGAGATCATGACCTGAGCCGAAGTCGGGCGCTTAACTGACTGAGCCACCCAGGCGCCCCGCGTTTTGCTTTTAAAAAACACGTTTGATAAAAATCCACCCAAATTTATTTGTGATTTCCAGAAGTACAAAGCACCACTTTCTCTACCTACGGTTATCATGAATTTTAAGTTGTCAATCTGTCAGATCTGCTCTCAAATTAAAAGTCTGTGTGTCAGTGTTCAGTGTTACCAGAAGATAACCATAGCTTCCATTTCATTGAGTTTTTATCGAGTGCCCAGCACTGAGCTGTGCGCTTCGTGTTCATCGTCTCATGTGATTCTTACCACAAGTTTGCAGTGAGGGAACTACAGCTAAGAGTGTAACTGGCTCCTCACAGGGGCCCTGCTAGTGGGTGGAGCAGGGGGTCCGAGCAGGGGCCTCACTGACTGCTGATCCCTTGCCTCCCCTGCCAGGCAGCCTGTGCCTCTAAAGCAGATGAGTGAGGTTATGTTTACCCTACTTTAACTCCTAGTGGTACATTCATGAATTAGAACTGGAATCACAAGGGTCACTGCAATTGCTTTTCTCTTGCTCCTTTTGGTTCTACGTGTTTGTAAATAGCTAGCCCTATGAAAGGCATTGTGTTGTTCCAAGTTCTGAGAGGAATACTTTACACTCTTTTCCTTCTATAGTCTCCATATAACAATTCAAACGGAGATAGTCATCTTCAAATGAGGATGAGCTCAGTTGAGGGACCGATCTAGAAAGTACTATTTGTAATGACCTTTGTTGGATGAGTTTGATTTCACCAGGCTGAGAACAAGGAAAACTGTCATGTAGCATCTTGTAGTTAATTATTCCTGTAGCATCTTTTGGTTACTTGTACTTAGTGTGGGTTAACATTTAAATAGTTGTATACTACCGCACAAAGTGAGCATCAACTTAAAATACTGAAATATTCATGGGGGGAAGAGTGGCAGAGGGAGGAGGGTGATGTGCCGATCTGTGACTTCCATTATAGATTAGAGCACAGGGGAGTTGTCCACCGTCAGAAGTCATACTCCGTAAGGGACAGGGTATTTGTTTTACCTGAAATTACATTAAGGAGCAGCTTACTAGCATATAACACAGACCTCAGAAGTGTAGAACGTTAGTTAACTGTAATGGAGAGGTTAGATAGATTCCAATCAGTTTCAGCCCTTACATTCATTGATTGCTGTCCTTTAGGTACTGTTTGTAAATTGATTTTGTAATCATGCCAAATAAACAAAAGCATTTTGGAAATTCACAAGTACAGCATGGGTTGGGTTGGGTTTTCGCATATACTTCCTTCTAAGACACTTGTTTCTGCTTCTGTAAGTCATTCTGTCCCAAGGCTTTAAGATGCCTCCCAAAACCCAGCCTGTCTGTAGAATGGGTGGGATTTTCAGCATTCTTCTTCTATTGAAATAAAATAAAATGCTCAAGAGAAAGCTTTAAAAAGAGCTCCAACAGCTTGTTAACAGAGAAGAATTGAGTGAGTGGTACTTGGGAGTTAACTAGCTACAATCTTGTAGAAGATCTATCTCCAGTCCATCCGGGTTGGTCTAGGAAAGGCATGGTAAACTCAGGGTGAACTGAATTTGTGGTTTCTGCATCTTCACCTATAATTGAAAACAGACTTCCCAGGTAACGGAACGTAATCGGTACTCCTCATACACAAATCAATGTCAGTTATGATCACCATTTTGCTATCTTTTGCCCAAAGAAAAATTCACCAAGAGTGTGTTTCTTTTGTATAATACACATTGGTTTGGAAAAGCCTATAATAGTCAAAATCCTGTCTGTATGAAAATACATTTAAAATAATTAGCAATTGTTCCTGCCCGTGCAAAGACATACTATTAAAGCTGTTGACATCACATGTCCTGCACGATGAAAAATTATAACTATCATGGAGTCCAATCTTTCTTACATACAGAGCTTTATATATGTACAATTCTACTGGCTCATATTTTAGAGGAAAGTCCAGATATTTAAAAACTAAAAATCAGAACTGTTATATTTCTATAAAATTTTATTTGTAAAAAAATGCTTTTAAATATGAAAAGCGAGTATCTCTTTACTTTTAAAATGTTTCAGTTGCATAAAGTTAGAATTATGCTCATTTAATCCGATGCCCCTAAGGAAACCGTTGTTATCATTTTGGTAAATAGCTGTGCGGAAGGTTATCATTCCAAAATTTCTTGACTTTTTCAAACCTTATTCAGAAGAGACAAAACGAACTTAATTAAAAGAGAAGAATTACAGGTAGATTGAAGAGCTGTCAGGACTGAATCTTAATGTATAGCAGCGTTTGTGCCCTTTTTATGGTTCATGTCTATACATGTTGATTTTTGTAGCTACACGATTTTTTTTTATGTGTATGTCAGACATTTAGTTCTTTGCTGTCCATTACAATAGGCACAAGCCACATGTGGCTATTGAGCACTTGAAGTATAGCTGGTCCAAATTGAGATGTGCTGTAAGTGTGATATATATAGTGGAGTTCAAAGACGGTACAAAAGGAAGAATGTAACGAACCTCAGTGATTTTTATATTGATTACATGTTACAATGACAACATTTTGGATATAGCGAATTAAATAAAATACTACATTTAATTAAACTTGTTCCTATTTTTTAATGTGGTTGCTAGAAAATTTTAAATCACATATGAAGCTTGCATTTGTGACCCACGATGTATTTCTGTTGGACAGTCTAGTCCAGATCATCTATCTGTTGACATATTTATGTTTTAGTAATAGCATCATCTTCTCATAAAATCCTGTTCGATAACTTTCAACTATAACCTCTGATTTTATTTTCTTACATTTCAAATGCTGTTTTTCAACATGATCTTTTGATTCTTTTTTTTTTTTTCTTTTTTTTTCATCGCAGTACAGAGATACTTTAAACTGCCTCTCGCTTTGATACTAGTAAGTCTCCTAGGAATTTAAATAGGCCTCTGTGAAAGCAATACTTGAGCCTCATTCATATGTTCAAGTTAGATCATTATTCCTAATAATGGCTTTAAGTGCTTAGATACATCAGCACTTCGTGTCTTGAATTGCTTGTCATTTCTTTATGAAGATGTTTCAAGAACTTGCTCCATGCAATCCCTTATTTCATTGTTTTCTAGCAAAAAGTAACATAACCTTTTATTAGTTTGTTGTTGGGAGTCCGAAGAAGAAAAGCCTTTTTATTCGCAAAAACAGAATGTATTTCCAGGTAGTGAGAATCTAAAGAGCAAAATGAGTCATGAGTGATAGTCCTGCGGAAGTTATTTTTCTAAATAAATCATGAATGCCCTGGCAATCTGCCAGTAGCTTTAACCTCTGTTTTATTTTCCCATTATACTTGGGTCCAGGTTGTCATCAGCTACCATGAGGAAACCTGTGTAATTACTAGAGAGAGAAAAGTTGCACTGTTAGACTTAATAGTACGGTAGTCATGGAAGCATCAGTCCTCTTCATCAAGGCAATTCAGATTTGATTATTGTAGGACTGTGTTGAATACCAAACCAGTGGAGTAGTAGCTGGAGCTAAATCAAGGGATTGTCATTTTTGTCAGATGATTAGGGCTGACTTGGAAGAGATATGAAAGGGTTGAGCTGGGTAAATATTCTCTTTTCAGCAGAAAAAGAAAAGGTCCATCACGGCCATTAAGATGCAGATTGTTAGCTTGATGAATTTCAAACTATTTAACCTTAGCAATTATACACCCCCGCCTACATACAAGTATATCAGTGCCTTGGGATTATGGCTCCAAGGATTGATATCGAAGTGTATTGGTAATTTTCTAGTAAGATGAAATGAAGCCTTTCTATGTCTAGATAGAGCTCTCAGAGGACAAGGCATGCTCTAGTTCAAAGTCCTACTCATTAACCTGAATTATAAGTTCAGGTAAACCCTGGAACACACTTATTTATAAGTTTTGTCAAACTTTTTCATGAAAAATATATGTAATTTAACATTTTAGAGATGGTATTCGTTTTAATTATGATATTAACATAGTAACCGTTTTATAAACTAGAATTTATTTAATTTTTATTTGCCTGTGAGGGACTTGATACATTTAAATAATGGACACATTAAACGATGGTAACATATTTAAATTGACAAACCTGACCTAATGATTTCAGGACATTTTTGCAATGTTTATGGAGAATATCAAATGCCAGAAAGGCCAGTGTATTGCTGTTGGTATGAAAATGTGCATTGGTCAGTTTGATTTTCTATTTTGATGGTACTCTGCTAATATTTCCACTACTTTGGTACTTGTTAAACTCGTAAATAAGAACAGATGACATAGAAATTTCTAACTTTAAAAGAATTGCTGAATTCTAAAATAACACATTCGTTTTTGGAGAAGAAAGACTCGGTGCGCCATCTAGTGGGCTTGTTTAGCATTCTGGTTATCAAAAACGGCGATTTTTTTACTCTTCCTCCAAAAGGCAGCTTTCTTAACACTTTGTATCTCTCAGGCATTAGGCCTAGATTGTTCTTGTGTTACATCTCATATAATTTTTCAGTTTTGTCATAATTTTATCTAGTTGTATTTTGGAAAGTCATATTCAAAGTGATCAGAATCATCAGAAATAAATCTACTTATCTTGAGTACTGAGAAATGTATAGAATTGTTGAATCATTATATTGTCCATCTGAAACTAATATAACACAGTACATTAAGTATGCTTACAAAAATCTAATGACAGAAATAAATCTTTGTGAACTTTGAGACAGGTAGAAATAAAATCTATAAGATAATTTCAGTGTTTAATCACGACTAAGATCAGTTAAGGTAAACTTCAACAATGAAAGCAAAACCCAAGCATGCTAACTATTGAACTTTGTTATCATATGTATTCTTTCTACAAAAACAGTTGTCTTTGTTCTTTTATGTCTTAATGTGTAATTTAAATAGCTTTATACATTTAAATTTCTTTTTTCTGTAGAGAAATCCAAGACCAGTGACTTACCAATTTCATCCAAATTTAGATTATTACAAAGCACGGGGAGCAGACCTCATGAATAAAAGCCGGTAAGTGCCCTTTCTCTGATGAAAGTTACAAGCCACAAAGATATTCTCTGAGATTTTCAGGAATTTTTACACATTTTGTGACAATGAATTTAGAGATTTTAGTATATCAGTGGGCAATGACATCTTTATTAAATAAATCATCTGAGTTTTTTTTTAAGGCATGAGAAAATGTATACATTGATGTCAGTGGTAAGAAGAAAAATAGAAGAGTATTTGTTATAATTTGAAGTTAGGCAACTTCATTTTTCTAACACTAATAAACCTGAATAAATTGCGCCTTTATCTCTTTCCAGATCCTTGCTGTTGATTGAAAAGAGGCAGTTCTATAATATATTTTTAAATTATTTCAGTAACAAAATTAAAATTGGGTTTCCCAACTGTCTTTAGAACTACACAATATGCTTATAAATGCATCTTGTGTGTGCATTTGTGATTACATACATAGAAATTTTAAGGGTCACTGTAGGAATAAAAAAACATTAAAATTCTACTTTTAAAAGAAATTAACATTGGCATAAAGGGTTGATGAACAGTTTTGTTCTTTCATAATACTGTACTCAGATGTCTCAAGAGTTAACTTGTCAAACCAGAACCATCTCAAATTAGAATGTAATTTCAAAGTTTACTCTGGAAGACAAAAATGTTAGTAATGATAAATGCTGCCAAGTTGTCCGAATTTTTTTCCGTAAGCATTTTGCCTATGTGCTAGCTTTTCTTCAGTAGGATTCCAGCAACCTAAATATACATCTATGGAGTAAACACACATAATGTGTTCTGCTCTTACTTGGAGAGTTAAAAAGAAGACATAATTCCTGCCACATAGAAACTCATAGTCCAAGGGGTGAGAAGAAGTTTATGGGAGAGCAGCTAAATTTAAACTTGTGTTCTGACCCCTGTTTTAGTGTTATGTTATTTTTAAATTACCCATCCTTGATTGAAATCTGTCACATACTATGATGTACCGTATAACTGTGACCCTGGCTCTATAGCCCATGAGGCTCTTCTCTGAAGCTCTTTTTTGTTCGTTTCATCTGATTCTTGTTTCACTAATAGAAGGCTATTCTCCTTAGTCATTTGTTCATTTAACAATTTTTATTGCGCGCCAGACTTTCGTTATTCTAGGTGTTGGAGATACTCAGGGAACAAACCAGATAAAACCCCTGCCCTCAGGAATCTTAATAGTCTAGTCACTTGTATTTCTACTCTGTCATGTCAAGTATTTAGTTTTGGTATGTTTAAAAGAACAAGGTATTTTAGGTACTTTCTTTATATAAGATTTTTCTAGCTAGAATCCCTTCTTCTCTCCCCTATCCTCCCCTACCCCAGCACCGCCAGATTAGTTTCCACACAACAGCCAAAGAACTCTCAATTTACAGAAGATTATATTACACCCCAACGTAAACCCCTCCAAAGGCTACCTCTTACTATTGATAATCCAGTCTTCTTCCTGGGCCCGTTTTCTATTTCTGTGACCTTCTCTCCTTTCACTTTCCCCTTGTCTTAACTCCCGTGCTTGCACTTGCCCTGCACCTTTCCTTCCCTCCTGTTTTCTTGCTTCTGCGTGATTTGGGGCTCAGCCCAAAGGTCATCTCAGAGAGGCCTCTCAGACCTGCCTATTTTCTGTTTCTCTCCCTCTCAGTAACCCTCTACCCCATTGCCCAGTATCATTTTCATAGGGTTCATAACTCACTGAAGCTGTAGACTTCATTTACATGTGTCACCTGACTCCCCAACTTCCACACTAAAATCTAAGCCTCCTGAAGGCAGGCACGTTGTCTTACCGCTTGAGAGCACTGAGGAGAATGTCAGGCATAAGGAAGTTCCTCAACAAATATTTGTTGTATGTGTGTATACATGCATTATCTTTTTACGTTTTTTGATGTCTACCTTTTGTTCCAGAAAAAGAAATGGACTATATACCCTTTCCTCCCCGCACCCC